ACACACACACACACACACACACACACACACACACACACACACACACAAAAGTAGTTAGGAAGTTTCCCTGAAGCCTCAGAGGCTCTCCACCTAAGTCCTTTTTAAAAACTGCTTTCATGTTCTTCTTAACCAAAACTCAAGGTTCCAGATCTGCCTCACAATATCCTAGTTCTCAACAGACTCATCTGATGTTGTGGGAATGATATCGTAGGGCATTAACCTGCTCCTCCCCAGTTCCACCAGACTGTTGGCCCACAGCAAGACATTTAAAGTTCTTCATAACAGGCTACTTCATCCCTTTCTAGTTCTACACTTTACTCACCCCTCCACATAATCTATAACCCAGTTACATTGGGCATTTCACATATGACACTCCTTTCCAAAGTCACCCCAGCTGCTACTGTCTTCCCCTTTGTGAGAGCTACCTTCTGCCTAGTAGGGTAGGGACTGTTTTTACCTTTCTTTGTATCCCCAACATAGCGCCTCATACAACACATTACTTAAATGAATGCTCACAGACTGACTGAGAACTGGAAAGGAAAAAATTAACTAAGGCCATTAATGAAGCTTGGACTGATTGATTACATGACAGAAGCAAAGAAAATCAGATCTGAGGCTTTGTGGTATCCTCATAGTGTCAGGAGAAAGGAGAAAGGGCTCATGGCTTGGGATCTCATGGCATATATATGGGACAGCACAGGCACAAGATGAAAGACATCGATGGCTTGTAATCTGTGTTACTGGAGGGATCACCCCAATCAATGGGCTCACAGAACCATTTGGGTTTCACCATTAGTGGGAACAGAGCAAGCATTTATTAAGCACCTATCATATACCTGGCACTATGTTAAGTGCTTGTCAAATATTAATGGGATTTAAGGAACCTGTTTCCCCATAGAATGACCCATGACACAGACCCTTTCACAGTCTTTATAACCCAATTATCAAATTCTCCCATATCAATCTGCCACTAAATTGGATTGCTCCTTTTCCCAAAATGTCTCTTTGACTATTAAGGGCCATACCCTAGACCAGATATTCATCACCTTATGTCTGGTTTGCCATGCTTGTTTTCCCAATCTAAATTCATCCCACACAGAGAATCCTAGAGGACTGGCCTCCCTACCCAATGCAAGAATCTCCTTACCTACCTTCTTGAGTTTTGAAATAATTATGGTGACATGTTACCAGGCCACCATAGACTTCAGGACACACAGCTTCTAGTCTCAGCTCTGTCACTAACTTGCTGTTAGCAAGCAAGTCACTTTACTTCTTGAGGTCTTTGTTTCCTTATGTCATAGGATTTGTTGAATATATCAAAGTGAATAAAATAAGACAAAAATATCTCAAAAAGCAATTTGAGTACAAAGACAAGAGTAAAGGGATAGGTGTTGACTCAAGAAGATTTAAACAAATCCCACCTCTTCATTCTAGATGTGTGACCAGGGCAAGTCATTTAATCTCTGAGTTAGTTTCCTCATCTTTTAAGAAAAGGATGGGTGGATTAAAAATCATACCTTTAGTCCCTACTTTGCAGGGATGCTATGAGACTCCCATGATAAAGTATGCAGAGTGCTCAGCAACCTTTAAAGGATTTCATAAATAGCAGATATTATCTAAACCTGGGGAAAGCATGAAGGAACATTGAAATGGGTGTGTTTGTTTTTTTACCTCTTATGGAAAATTTTTCATCAGGAAGAAGTATAGTAGAGTGTGGCTTCTTGTAAATGTCAAAATCCAAATGCCTCTGCTCCCAGCTCATCCTGTCCCTATCCAGGACGGGCTTCAAAATATTAGCAAATAGCCTATTCTCTTGCCATGACTAAAATGGAAAGAAAAAAAAGATAGGAAGAAATGTTGTTGGTATGGATGAGGAAATCAATCCCTGCACATGCATTAATTTGCCTAACAAAATATTACCTCTTTTAATTCTTCTACCCGATTCGGATCTGGACTCTTTGGGTGTCGATTACTTTCAAAACTAGTCTGATTTCCAGGAACTTGAAATCCTTCTGGAGTGAGCCAGAACTTAGATTTGGGTATCTGCTGGGTCAGACCCAAAGGTTCTGGAATGGATGCAAGGTATTTTTGAGAGTAAGTGAACCTTTTCCCTCGTTCCTGTAAAGAATGTAACCAAATTAAAAAAACAAACAAACAAACGAAAAACCCTTTGGAAAATGACATAGTTCAATTAGTAAAATTGACTCAAGGTGGTGGCGGTGGGGTTTTCCATCTAGGTTCAGATAAATGAGTTAGTACCTTCTAGTTATAGTCCTGTTAGGTGGGGATTTGCAGAAAGTTCAAGAAGTTATCATTCCTTTCCACTCTATCTCTAAAAAGACTTGGGAAATGTGGAATTATTTTTAGCCACAATAACTAAAAAGGGTCTGGGAGCCTTTCGATGGCCAGCAAGCCTCTGGGTGTGAGCAGGCAAGGGAGGAAAGTAATTCCCGATTCCCAATCCGGGTGTTTCCTACACAAACATCTAGTATCAACAGCAAGTGGGCTGCACTCACCTTGTCCATCTGAGCAATTAATTGCTGCTTTGCAAGCTCCCCCGAGTTCAAAGTCTGAATGCTGTAGTTATATACAGACTTCTTATCAGCAGGAATAATTCTGATTGTTTTCACTTCAGGCTTCTGGGAGGTCCTTTTCACTCGAGATGCTCTAAAAAAGTTTTTCTGAAACGATATGCCAGGAACTCATCGATACAGGGCTTAAGTTTTTACTATCATCTACATAACACATTTCCATTCCAAGGCTACCATGATAACTATTATTTACTATCATTTATATTACTATATTACTATTACTATATATATTACTATTACTTATAACTATCATAAATTACATATTTACTTTTCATGATCCCATTTGGGGTTTTCTTGGCAAAGATAATAGCGGGGTCTGCCATTTCCTTCTCCAACTCGTTTTACAAACGAGGAGCTGAGGCAAACAGGGTTAAGCAACTTGTCTAGGGTCACAAAGCTGCTAAGTGTTTGAGACCAGATTTGAACTCATGAAGAGGAGTCTTCCCGATTCCAACCAGAGCCAAGATGGTAGCATAACAGGAAAATGGAACAGCAAGCTCTTCCCCAAAACTCCTCCAAACAGATCTAGAAACCAGACCAAATACTAATGGCAACCTCGCCTCCCAGAAAAAATTACAGCGAGTCATTTTTCTAGCCAAGATCAGCATAGAGGCACACAGATAAAGCTTAGGTCTGCAGACAATGGGGATAAAGGGTGGCAATCTGACCAGGAACCCACTAAGAAGAAAAGTCTGGCAGCCAAGGGAGAGAGAGGTTGTGCACCTAGGCAAGAAAAGATCCCCAAACCATCCACGGTCAGAGGGTGAGGGAAGAGGTGAAAAGGTCAGAAAGGTATGCTGGGCTCAGGTTGTGAAGAATTTTAAAAGCTAAATAGGTGAGCTAGTATTTGAACCTAGAGACAAGGAGAACCAACATGGTCACGCCTACACTTCAGTAAAAAATCACTTTGGCAGCAGTGTGGAGGATGGATGGAAGAGGGAGAGGCTTGGGGCAGGAAGACCAATTAGGCAGTTATTTGCAATAGTCCAGCTAAGAGGTGATGAGGATGCACTAGGATGGTGAACTTGAGAGTAGCAGAGATAAGAAAATTGTGGTGAGAGATATTATTTTAGTAGAATTGACAAGATTTGGCAACTTACTGGCTATCTGGGGTGAAAGAAAGTGAGGAGTCAAGAATAACCAGTGTTCTAGATTCAGAACCTGAGTGCCTAAGAAGGTGATACCCTTAACAGAAATAAGGAAGTTGGAAGTGGAGAGAGGGAGCGGGGCGTCAGGGGAAAGTGAGAGTCTGTTTGGGGGCAGAAAGATCAGATCAGGTTGGGACATGTTGAGGCTGAGATTCCTTACAAAATATATAGTTTGAAATATCCAGTGCTATGGGGCAGCTAGGTGGCGCAGTAGATAGAGCACTATCCCTGAAGTCAGGAGGACCTGAGTTCAAATCTGGCCTCAGATCAAACACTTAACATTTACTAGCTGTGTGACCCTGGGCAAGTCACTTAACCCCAATTGCCTTTAAAAAAAATCCAATGCTATATACACATATTCTTTTTCTTTTTTGTTTTTTTTTATTTAAACAGTATTTTATTTTCCCTCCACATACATATTAAGAACATTTTTAGCATTCATTTTTACAAGATTTTGAGTTCCAAATTTTTTCTCCCTCCTTCCCTCCTCTTCCTTCTTCTGAATATGGTGGGCAGTTTGACATAGTTTATACATGTGCTATCATGTAAAACATTTCTATATTTGTCACAGTTGTGGAAGAAGAAACAGATCAGAAGGAAATAAAACCATGAGAAGAATAAAGTAAATGAAAAAAAAACTGCTTCAATCTGCATTCTGAGTCCATTATATACACACATTGTTTTTTGGTGAGGCAATAGGGATTAAGTGACTTGTCCAGGGTCACACAGATAGGAAGTGTCAAAGTATCTGAGGCCGGATTTGAACTCAGGTCCTCCTAACTCCAAGGTCAGAGCTCTAATCACTGCACCACCTGGGGTATAATAATACAGCCCAGTCTCTTTCTACTCTATGCTCAGAGAAAAGCAATCAAATCAATTCTCCCATGGCTTCTAGGAAAGATACGACATGTGCAGTTTTATGTATAATCCTCCTCTGATGTTCTACTATTTATATTGAAAGCCTTTCTTTATTTGGTGTTTGGTAAGTTCTGAATTTTTAAAAATAAACTGATTTTAAAAAGATAGGGTATGACAATGGATTGCCCTTTCATTATACATGCCATTTCTATGACCCACAGACAAAAAGTCCTTCCCTTATCACCTATATGCATTGCTCTCCCTGCTCCTTTATTAGAATATAAGCTACTTGAAGGTAGGGACTATCTGACTTTCACCTCTGTATTATTAGTGCCTGGCATACTGCCTGACATACATCAGGAGCTTAACCGATGCTTTTTTCATTTGCTTATGTAAAAAACCATAAAATGTATAGATATGGAAGGGCCCTTCTTTAATATGATCTAAAATGGAAAGTAAGCATTATTTGTCATGGAGAAACACTAGAAGCTTTCCCAGTACAAAAAGGTGTTCGCCTCCTAATGTTTGACATAGGTCCAGAAATTCTAGCTATAGAAATAAAAAAAATCGGGGCAGCTAGGTGGCGCAGTGGATAGACCACCAGCCCTGGATTCAGGAGGACCTGAGTTCAAATCTGGATCAGACACATAACACTTACTAGCTGGGTGACCCTGGGCAAGTCCCTTAACCCTATTGCCTAGGCACCCCCCCCAAAAAAAAGAAAGAAAAAAGAAAAAAAAGATCATGAAATTAAAACTATAAACATCAACAGAGTGGAGTCAAAATGGTTCCTCCTATTTGCAGGAGACCGGATGCTGGACTTGGAAAAAAACCAGAGAACCAGAAAAGAAATTGAGATCGTTAATAATTTCATAAGAGTATGACTTAAAGTAAATCCACAAAAATCATCAGCATTTCTGTACAGTAGTAACAAAACACAGGAGAAATCAATAAGAAAAATTTTACCCAAATAACTACAAAATGCATATTAAGGATCTAACATACTAAGACACTTTGGAGATTTATATAAATCTAACTACAAAATGCTCTTTATAGCAATAAGAGAAAATAAAGAACTGTAAAGATACTGTTCATGGTTTGGTTGTACTAATTTAATAAAAATGATGAAACTAGTTTAATTTATAGATTTTAATACTATGCCAATCAAATTACTGAGGGGATACTTCATAAAATTAGACAAAAAATAATAACATTATTAATTTAGAGTAACAAAGAGTCTATAATCCCAAGGGAGGTCATTTTTAAATATATAAATTAATTAATGAAAATTAAATAAATAAATGATTGATTGATTAATTAAAAATAAGTTAAATAAATAAAGTATGGGTATGAGACCTGAATATAAAGTTCATATTATAAAGCAGTTACAGGAGAAGGAAAAGAGATACTTCTCACATTTATATTTAAGTGAACAATTCTTAATCAATAAAAGAGGAAGAGGCAATTAAAACAGATAATTTTGATTACATAAAAATAAAAAGCTTTTCATACAAACAAAACCAATTAAGACAATAAAAACAAGGGAAGAAAATCTTCACAACAAATACTAGTGGTATTAGCATAATATCCATGATATATAGGGAACTGGCACAAATATATAAGACCAAGAGCCAACCCCCAATAGATCACAAATCAAAAGATATGAACAGTTTTGAAAAGAATTGTCAATGATATAAATGACCATGTGAAAAAATGCTACAAATCACTAATACAAGAAATGCAAATTAAAACAATTCTAAGTTTTTGCCTTATATCCCGAAAACTGACAAAGATGTCCAAAAATGGGAATAGGTGAGGTTAGGAGGACAATAGGAAGACAGAAACACTAATACACTGGAGCTATGAATTGTCCTAACCTTTGACCCACATGATCCACTATGCTAGGTAAGATAAAGACAGAAAAGACACCGTAATATTCACAGCAGCATTCATTGGGGTAGCAAAAAACTGTAAATAAAGATATTCTTTTTAATTGTGGAATGGCTAAATAAATGATTATATGTGTAGGTAATGAAATACGCAGTACAAAATAATGAATATGAAGAATTATAAGAAACATGATAATATTTATGCACAATGACAAATGAAATAAGAACCAAAAATAATTTTAAAAACCAATACATATATATGTATACATATATATATATATAAATGACTACAATAATGTGCTCTAAAAAAAAGATCACTAAAAGGAAATCAACATTGGTTTAACTTGAAATTCAATAATGATCCCAGAGACAAGATGAAGAAATAGCCTTCCCTCTTCTTGACAGAGAGGTAGAGGACCACAAGGGTATTTGCAAACATTGATAGATAAAGTCTTTGTACTGGGTGTTTTTGCTTGACTGTTTTTCTTTGTTACAAGAAGAGCTTAAATTTCAAAATGGGGATTAAGTGATGGGTAAGGAGGAGGGTGTTTTTCTCCCTCAAGAAACAACTGATATAAGGGACAGCTAGGTGGCGCAATGGATAGAGCACCAGCCCTTGACTCAGGAGGACCTGAGTTCAAATGTGATCTCAGATACTCACTAGCTATGTGACACTGGGCAAGTCACTTAACCCCAATTGCCTTAAAAAAAAAGAGAGAGAGAGAGAACTGATATAAAAATAAAAGGTACCAATAAAACTTTTTTTAATGGGCTGTAACAGAAATATGAAGGCATGATGCTGATGGTAGCTTTAAATAATGAGTAGCAGGTGGTACCTACCTGAATGTAGGTTGGTGCTATGGATCGTTTCATCTCCATGTCCTTTTTCCACCGTAGATAATTTTCTTGATGTAATTTGATTAGGGAAGAAAAGCTGTGTATTTGTTTTCTTGGCCCTTCTACCTTTAAAAGAGCAGATGGCACTCTCTTCAGCGGACTTGGGATTAATAATTCTGACCTACTCATAGGAACCCCAAACTCTTGGCTCATGCATTTTACCATTTCTGCTGAAGGCAACAGATCTCCTTCTATGACATCCTTGAGTTTGTTGCTATGACAGATGGAGTCGAGCCTATAAGAGATTATTGGGACAGCTCTTCAATCATGTTCATGCTAAAGCAGGAATTTCCCCCTAAACATCCCCATCACCACACCCCTAAAAAAAAGCTCTCTTCCCTTTGTCATTGGCAGCTTTGTACTTCCCACACACTCGGTTCTGGGGCTTCTCAAAGGATATAAAATTAGAATGTGTCTATTTCCCCCTTACTTTTCTCCAGAACCCCCACCCCACACCACAGCAAAGTCAGCCAGTGAAAATATGATTTTATGAGTGTGTGGAGATATGAGTTCAATTATGTGCAAATATGTAAAATACAAACATAATCTCAATATAGTCAAGGTTAATACACTGACCCCCAAATAGAGTGTAATATATTTGAATAAAGACAATATTTATAGAGCTTGATAACCACCACCCTCCATAGTTCCTAATATGATGCCTTGCAGAAAAACTCAGTCTATGTTTGTTAAATAAATGAATGCATCCAGTAGTTGCATATTACTCTTCCAATTCCTAGTTGAATGACTGTGTGATTTGTTTATCTGTCCAATGAATGAATTGATTGTCCAATTCAACAAACAGTACAGGGCACTACACTAATTTCTAGAGATACCAAGATGAGAAAACAGCCCCAGCTTCCAAGGAACTTCTAATAAGAGGGATGAGGCATGTGTAATTCAAGGTACATCCAAACCCATTTCACACCCTAACACTTAAAAAGGCCTTGTGAAAAACAAAGTTTTCCCCCTTTTAGTCTTGACTTACAGAGACTTGGCCAAAAGCAGAAGGGGAGAGATGGAGACAGAGACAAGAACAGAAGAGAGGAGAGAAAGAGAGGGAAGGAGAGAGAGAGAGAGAGAGAGAGCACTCCAGCAAGCGTTCAGATATCCTACAATGCCTTGTTTTTATGAGAATTTTGTGATCTCTTTCCCAAAATCTGTCTAATTAATTCTTCTGTTCAAGAGATCTGTAGCCAATTCCAATGACAGTATCATTTGCTGACCCTCACTCAAATGCTTTATGCTTTCCCCTGTCATGTTCCTGCATTTCCTCACATGAGTATATCTTCTTAATGAACAACTCTATTCTACCACTTTTTTTCCTCTATTCTGGTGCTCTTAAATATATCATAGTCTTCTGGAGTCATGTTCTGGTCATAAGTCATATATGCCAAATCCCAGTGACATATCTATGAGGTAAAATTTTACCTCTTTGTTCTATGATCTTTACCCTATTCATTACAATACTTTGCACATTTGTATATAGACAGCTGAGGTTATGGTTTTTATGTTGGATTTATTTTTTTGTATAATGTCTCTTGTGAATTACTGGTCCTCTCCTATTATTCCCTTCTATTCTCTTTTGTACCAGCCATGGTAGATCTATGGGGTAAGTATTTGTCTTTACCCTCATTTTTCAGTTCAGTATGTTAAGTTTGATGTGCTGGTAAGGTTTCTGGGTGATATCCATTAGCAAACTGCAATTAGAAGACTGAAACTCAGAGATGTCAAGGCTAAATACGTACACACATATGTATACACAAATATATGTGTGCCCATACAAATACATGCACACACATATATATTGAAAAATACATATTAAAAATAATTGAAAATACTGAAGTGAATCCTGAAGATAGAATTTTTACCTATTACCCCACTCTACGGATCCTATTGTTACAATAAATTATCTTACAGTGGCTTGCCTTCCAGATGTGATGAAAGGGATGATGACATTACTTGGGGGGTTTTTTTAGGTTATACTTGTACAATCGTATTAAATATATTTCCATGTTAGTCATGTTGTGAAAGAAGAATTAGAACAAAAGGGGAAAAACTACAAGAAAGAAAAAACAAAAAACAAAAAAAGTGAAAATAGTAGACTTCAATCTGCATTCAGACTCCATAGTTCTTTCTCTGGATGTAGATAGCATTTTCCATCATGAGGATGGCATTACTTGTAGTTATAGTTAATTCTCAACTCTATTTGAACCTTTCAGGTTATGAATTATCAAAGCTCTTTGCTCAGGAATCTAGGCAAAGACAAATCCCTCAACCCTGACCACTCCATTGTGACCAACCTGTACCAAATCCTCTCTGAGAGAGACAGGCAAAGACAAGCAGAGAAAGCGATCAAGAGTCTGGATTATCTGTGTATACAGACTCTCCCTGTCCACTGATACCATGGATAAATGACTTAAACAGAACAACTCTGGAATTGATCCATCCAAGCATTCCCAAAGCTCATCGACTCTCTTTTGTGGTTATGTTCAGTCCTGGGAGCCACAGTCTAGGAGGGAGACTAAGAAGCTGGAGGTCATCCACAGAAGCACTTTGGAAACCAACCATGCCCCACAAGGATTGGTTCAAGGGTCTGGGGTCCATTTTCTGCTTAAACCCTTACAATGACTGGGATGAGGTAGCCTGTTCCCATTGGACAGCTCTACTTGTCCTAAAGACAATCTTTCTTGCTAAAGAAAAGACTTAAGGAGACATAATTTCTATCTTCAAATATCTGAAGGTCTATCAGGTCAAAGGGCAGCTCAGTGGTGCAGTGGATAGAACACTGTGCTTGGGATCAGGAAGACTCATCTTCATGAGTTCCAATCCAGCTTCAAACACTTACTAGCTGTGTGACTGTAGACAATTCACGTAACCCTGTTTACCTCAGTTTCCTCATCTGTAAAAAAGAAATGAGTTGGAGGAGATGGCAGACCACTCTAGTATCTTTGCCAAGAAAACCTCAAATGGTGTCATGGACATTCCTGAAACAAGTGAACAACAACAATCAGGATTTATTCCACTTGGCTATAGCTGGGAAAAGTAAGGCAGGTGGATGGAAGATTTTAGCACATCACAATTAACAGATCCCTAACAAGTCAGGCTGTCCCAACAGTGGAATAAGTGACCTCATCACTGTCTCTGGAAGTGTACAAGCAGGGGCTGGCTGATCCCTTGTCAGTGATGATGGGAAAAGGATTCATCAACAGAATTGGAAATGAACTAGGTGATCTCTAGGATTCCTATCTCTTTCTTTAACACTAGCAAGGGCATATTCCTTAGAAATATTTTTATTAAAAATTTAAGAAAATTTGCAATTATTTCAAGAAGATGCTTAAGCTGCTCTTGTATTCTAGCAGTCACTTTAAGATAAAACATAACAGAATGGATTCTAACTTTATCAGGGCTTGAAAGGATGGTTGAGGAATCAGTCCTCTGACAAAAATCATTGACTGTTTCACTAAAGCTGAAAGAGGTTTGCAGAGATGGACTTGGTATAACATCGCATCCAGATCCGCATACAGACGTTTATGAAATGTTAACTCCGAGTTATAAAAAACTTGAAACTTTCCTTCTTCTGAACCTGGTGCACTGTAACAGAAGACCACAATAGTTATAATAATGATAACAACCACAACAACAATAAAATAGCATTTATGTGTTGTTTTAAGGTTTGCAAAGCACTTTACAAATATTATCTCAGTTTATACTCACAACAGCCCTGTGAGATAGGTGCTATTATTATTCTCATTTTAGATACTTCAATCACCCTCCATTTGACAAATGAGGAAACTGAGGCAGGCTGTAGTTAAGTGACTTGCTCCAGGTCACACAGCTAATAAATATTTGAGGTTAAATTTGATCTCAGGTCTTCTTGAGTGCAGGTCCAGCATTCTATCCACCATCTAGTTGCCTCTGAATAGTGATGATCATTGGGTCATTTGTTTAAAGTCTCCTTTTTATTAGTTACACTTCAGGAGATTACACTGCCCATAGTAGGCACTGAATGTTTTATCTGATTGGTTATGATAGATTCTTTCTTTTCCAAATGATAGATTCTTTCTTTTCCAAATTTTGCTTTTTTGCTTTTCTGTGATTTTGACCATATTCTTCCTATAAAAACTAAGCCAACCTTAGAGAATTTTGCCCAAGTGTTTTTAATACTCCATTCTAAAAATAATAGTCTTCTGCATTTTAATGAACTATTTATACAAATTCATGGAAATCTTTGCCTAAATTATCTGACAGTGTACTTGAACCTCACCTTTCTGGAATGAATAGTCATGTCTGAATTGAGGGCTATTTCTAGCTTTAAGAGCTATTAGTTTATTAGCTGGAGTATCACAAACAGTAATTTATAAACCACTATGTCCTATGCCCAAGGAGCCATTTTGAACTGGTACAGAAGAGCCAACTTGTCCTGTGGCCAAGGACTTCAACTCCAAGCTTAGCTAAATCGACAGTTAGCTTGTTGGAAACATAAACGGAAGATGATTCATGAACATAGAACTTGTTCTAATAATAAAAGCAGCTCACATTTATAGTTGAGAATTTATAAAGTACTTCCTTGTCAATGCCCCCAATGTCAATGTCAATTCCCTGTCAATTACCAGTGAAGAAACAGGCTCAGAGCAATTAAGTGACTCCCATAACCCCATGGGTCACATGACAAGTAAACAGTAGACCTAGCAACTTGACCCCAGGTCTTTGTACTGCAAATTTAGTGTCCTCTCTACTATATAAAGTTGCACCTTTCACTTAGTCCTTAGATAACATTCAATGAAATAAAACACATGCTCCGTTGGTTGTATGAATTATTTGGTTATAGTAGGTAATGAAGAAGGTCAGTAGATAGACCCTTGCTAGCAGTGTGACCCTGTACCTCAGTTTCCTCAGCTGTAAATGGGGATAATAATAGCACCTACCTCGCAAGGCTGTTGAAAAGAGCAAATGAGAGAAGATTTGTAAAATAAACTTTGCAAACATTAAAGCACTATAGAAATGCTATTATTTTATAATTGGCAAGCGGAGGAAAAAAAATTTTCCCTACAACTCTCAATCTTTAGTGTGTTATTTTATTTTGACAGCTGTTTTGACATTGGAGTGCATTTATTTTAAGTAGCTGGGATGTTTGGAAGGGGAGTAGGTAAAGTCCAGTGGTGCTTTGTTAGAACTTTAGCCCAAGAGTCAGGAGACCTAGCTTCTGAAACGAGCTCAACTATGAACTCATCCCAGGGCCTTGGACAAATGCATTCTCTGGAAACTCAGTTTCATCATCGGTAAAGTGAATGGGGTTGAATCAAAGTGTCTAGGCACCTTACTTTAATACATGAAAAGCTCCACAATGTTATCTACCTGGGTAACCCCTCTGCTAACACTGCTCACGGGCTGCTTTGGCCAAAAAAGAGTCATCATTCCTCGGAGGCTCATCTCCCAGTGACGAGCTTCCTTTAAACGCAGGGATATTGGACAACGGACAACAGGATGCATATGCCATCACTGAGCTCATGGGTGAAGGCTGCCCTGCTTGGCAGCTTGTTTCCTTCAGCATAGCTTTCAAGAACCCTGTCACCTTGATATCAGGGTGAGGCATAGGAGTAAGACCTCAGTGGAGAAGAGAGGACAATAACTCTGAGATCTTATGATTCTATAAACAACCTTAACAGCAGGACTTTAAGTATCAAGTAAAAACAACTCAGCCTTCCTTTCATTTATGACACCCAAAGCATACAGATGAGGTACCGTGGGAGGCAATTAAAATAATATATAAGAAAGCGCTTTGAAAATCATAAGCACTATAAAAATATACTCATGTTTCTGAGTTTGAATCTCAGACACTTACTAGCTGTGCATGTCCTCATCTGTAAAATGAGCAGGAGAAAGAAACGGCAGATGAGGAAACTGAGGCAAACAGGGTTAAGTGGCTTGCCCAGGGTCACACATTGGGCTATCTACCTGCCCATAAATACTAGCTGTTACTATTAACTACAGTATCTGCTTATGGCACACTAGCCTTGGTGTTTACTATTTACTACAGAGAAATGACCTTTTTTTCATTTTAATAAGGTCATTGCTAATAATACTAACTGTGAACAGAGGATCCCAAGCAAACCATTGTTACCAAAAAAAAAATCTCCAAAATAAGACACGTCATTTTTGGAATTTTGGAGAAGAAAAGAATTGCAGATGAGTTATGTTCATTTTAAAGAGAGAATTATAGAACTAGTATTATTAAGGTACTCAGACTAAAGAGCTCAAACCCCTCCAAATACACTCTAGAAGGAACTCATCACTGTCTTATTTAATTAGCTGAAGACACTGAATATAGGTCCAAATTTGGCTTAGAAAACCAAACAAACAAAACAAAACAAAAAAAAACCTTTAATTTTTTTAAGGGAAAAGAAATCATTAAAATTGCTTACCGATTTGGATGTCTTTCCCACAGCCTCTTCAGTCCTTGCTCTGCCAACCCTTCCAAAATAAAGAGGTGAATCTGTCCATCTAACAAATGGAATCCAGTAATCACATCCTGGTCTAGATTTGTCTGTTCTTTAAGTTTCACCTTAAAGGCTGAGAGCACCTCTTGAATATCTTGAGGAGGATAAGATTCCAAGTGGAGAGCCTTGGCATTGATTTCAGTAACACTCTTCAGGAGAGCCCTCAAGAAGTCAATTTTTGAAGAATCAAAAATATAAATTATGCGCCCAAACCGTTCATTTGCAGCTTTACCCATGCCTACTCCTAACTTCAGAGGCACACATAATTCTATCCTCAATCTAAGCAATGAGGAGTATTCAAAATAGTTGCCCATGGGCATTGGAGTGGATTGCAGAGTATTCGTTGGATTATGACCACCAAAGCTTTTCCTACGTCCTTTGCTGTCCTTTTGGAAGTAAGAAGAATCAGGTTTACATCCGTGAATGGGCACAAACAAGTCCATCAACTTTTGACCAAGCAGCAGATCAGCAAAACCAACCTTAGCGATCCCATAAGGATCCCACTTCTTGTTAATGACTTCTGCTGGGTTTTCGGCTACGTTGTAAGTAACATGACTCACTTTGCTCAGATTTGCATCAGCCAAATTGTCCCCAAATAGAGAAGGTACAGGTAAATATGCCTCCTCTTGTCTATCTCGGTCATGGATTTCGACCTCCATTGGTGGCCCTTCCAGGTATTCACGAAGATTATGAGGGTCCAGTGCCCCTAGGAGAATTACATTGACATCATCAAAATAAATATGTGTTCCATAGGGTTGTCCTTGAGTCTGATGAACAGGACTGTCATGAAACTTGTATTTACAGTATACTGGAACACACATTTTCTAAAAAGAAAAAAAAGAAAAAATAAGATTACTTGTATAAGATCCTATCCCAATTATTTTTCTTGACCAAAGGGTGGAGCACAAGAAAGCACACAAAAGATATTATCTGAGAAATTTATATTATTAGAAGTGTGAAGTGGAGAGACTATTGGTAACCAAAGAATGTTTAAAAAAAAGATCATAGATTTAGAGTAGGAAAGCCATCAAGTCCAATTGCCCCATTTTGTAGATGAGGAAACTATGGCCCAGAGATGGAGAAGGACTTGTCCAGGGTCACAGAGCCAATAAGTGCCTGAGGGAGGATATGAATTCAGGTCTTTGTGACTCCAAATCCAGTGCCCTCTTCACAACACCAAGGTACATCAAAAACATAAAGGGAGGCCTCTCCAGCATAGTAGATAGATTCTCTAGGTAGGCTTGATGGGAGAACATAGGTAAGAGTCACAAAGAATGAACAGAAGTGGCTCTGTACTGTTGAAGGGTCTCCACATCCATGGACAATGGATCCATTTGAACCTAACCATTAAAGAGACTCAAAAGAGGGCCAGGTGGTAATATCAACTCCCAGAGCCATCTTTAGGAGATTACACAAATTGGGCCAACTGGCCAACTGTGAGGGGCACCAGTCTTTCATCTCTCAGTTAATGAGAGGGAGTACTTTCTGTGTATACATTGATATCCTAGAGCTATGCTTGACAGAAATACTGGAGTGCTTTGCCATTTCCTTCTCCAGTTCATTTTACAGATGAGGAAACTGAGGCAAACATGGTTAAGTGACTTACCCAGGGTCACACAGCTAGTAAGTGTCTGGGGCCAGATTTGGACTTAGTCTTTCTGATTCCATGTCATGTTTTTAAAATCTACTTAGGGTTACCTTTTTTCTGACCCAAATACAGAAGGTACAGTTAAATATGCTTCCTATTTTCTATCTCGGTCATGGATTTTGACCCAGGATTTTGACCCAGGAAATGCAACAAGTGATTGCAAGAATTAATTCCATGAAAGAGAAGAATTCACTAAAGGACTTAAGTAATGTGGGAGTAGAGACAGTTTGGGGAAAAGGATAGGGAGGAAGGCAGGAACATCAAAGTCTTATCATGGTGGGTAATGTGCCAAAGACAGCGGTCCATCTGGTAAAGTTAACTCTAAATTAAAAATAAATTTTCACTGTCAGTTTTATGAGAAGATTTTTTTGTAGCACTTCCAGGTAGCAACAATAGGTAGCAATCAATTAACTGGTAAAAATTCACTGTAATTTATTAAATGCCTACAATGTGTCAGGCACAGTGTGGGCTGATGATACAGAAAAACACAAATGAAATGGTCTTTTACCTCAAGGAGCTAATATACACCTATATAAATACAAGGATATTAGAGACAGATTATTAGGATATAATAAATTGGGCCCACCTTGGATGGGGATCAGAAAGGGAATACCTCCCCAGACATTCACTATCTCGTTGATAAGGCTAGCCTCTTGACAGCACAGAGATACAACTTCTCATTCCAGCCCAAATCCTCCCATCAATCCTGCAGAGAAGGTCTACTATGCTGGGACCTTCTTCTGGGTGTTAGAAGCGGAATGAGAGAGGATATCAAATAAATACAAGTAAGTTTGGGGAGGGCAGGCAGTAGCAGCTAAGGGGACCAAGAAGGGCACGTGGCTCAGTGGCCTGGGAAGCAGGAAGTCTCATCTTCATGAGTCCAAATCTAGCCTCACACACTCACTACCTGTGTGACCCTGGCCAAGTCACTTCACCCTGTTTGCCTCAGTTTCCTCATCTGTAAAATGAGCTTGAAGAAGGAAATGGCAAAACCAGTCTAGTGTCTCTGCCAAGAAAACCCCAAATGGGATCACAGAAGGTTGGACACAACTGAACTGACTACACAACAAGAAAGAAGAAAAGAGTTCACTTAATTCAGGGTGACCAGACCTTTTCTTAGCCTGGGGATTGGGGTGTTTGGTTAATAATAGAGATAGAAGATGTGAGAGAGACAGAAAATACCAACTAAAAAAAAAAAAAGAGTCCTTGGGAGTGCAGGCCAGTCTGATGATCTACTGACCAGTAAGTAATTCCTGTTTTAATTTTTTTTTGTCAGCATGGGGAACTGAGAAAAACTGGGCAAAGTAGAAAGATCTGAGTTCATATTTTATCCCACACAATATAAAAAGGGTAAGAAGAAAGAAAAAATTGACTCCCACCCATTCAAACCTTCAAATGGTAACCCTTAAGAGGTGAGACGGGGGCATAGGAGGAGGATGGCAGTGTTTTGAAAGCAACTCACAGAACAGAAAAGAGTGCTGCTTTTTTCCTTAGGTGGGTTGGGAACTAAAAATTGGGGGGAGGCTCCCCAAGACTCTTAGTTAGCTTCCAGAAGCAGTTGGAGCATTAATAAAACATACTTGGACTAATGGGGTGTATGGGGTGTCCAGGAGGACTAGCACTTCTGCTGTGTGGGCTTGTCACGCCCTTTTCAGGGCTGCTCGTTCACTTTTGGTGCCTACCTGGTTCCCCCAGCTCTCACCTGTGGCTCCAAGAAGCTATAGCATGCACAGGGGTCACACCTTGGCCATGGCGGATGGGCTAACCTACGTTGAGGGGAACCTACAGGCCTCAAACCTATTGGTTGGTTAGTCGGATAGCTACCCCAAGCATGTGAAGACTTTCCCCGGCAGAATGGGTAGATGAGAACAATTTTTTCCAGTGGCCATGAAGGCGGCTGAAGCAGGGACTGTGGAGTGCTTAGAGCTCGGTCAGACATTAAAGACACCAAGGCCATCCACACGTCCCAGGCCATCGCCAGTCATCCCGACTTTTGTCTCAGCACTGGACTTGGATGACTCAGGAAGAGACAGTGAGGCTGATGACGGTGCAACTCTGCCTCACTGAAATCCAATTCACACAAGGCATCACTCGTAATGTTGTCACTGGTCCTCTTTGAAAATGAAGGACAGGGGCAGCTGGGTGGCACAGTGAGTAGAGCTCTGGCCTTGAAGGCAAGAGGACCTAAGTTCAAATCCAGCCTCAGACACTTAACACTTACTAGCCGTGTGACCCTGAGCAAGTCATTTAACCCTGATTGCCTCACCAAAAAGAAAAAAAGTGAAGGACAAACAACAACTTGGACTAATAAAAGTGGAACCCCAGAAGTCTAGCTCCTCCATGGGTGGATAAGGAAGAGATGGGAAAGAATTCACTATTTCGTGTTTTCGCATGCTCCTCATTCCTGCCAAACATGTCACTCCCTGAATCCCACACCTCATTTCCCACCTCTTCGCCTTTGCACAGCCTGTTCCTCACACCTGCAGTGCCCTCTCTTCTCACTTCTTAGAATCACTAGCTTCCTTCAATGCTTAGTTTATGGGCCACCTCTTCCAAGAAATCTTCCTTTCCTGATCCTCCTAGCTGTTAGTATTCTGTCTCTCCTCAAATCATCATGCATATACTTTTCTGTTTTATATCATTTATCCCTCCTCATAAAGTGTAGGCCTCCTGAGGGCAAGAACTGTTGAATGAATGAATGGAAAAGCATGTCTTAGGTGGTTACTACGTCAGGCTAGCATAGTGGCTAGAGAGCTCTCTTTGGAGCCAGGAAGATGTGAGATCAAGTTCTGGCCCTGGAAAAGTCATAGCCTCTTCGTACTCTAGACAACTCTCTTTTTTTTTTTTTTTTTTTTTTTTTTTGGCTAGGCAATAGGGTTAAGTGACTTGCCTAGGGTCACTCAGCTAGTAAGTGTCAAGTGTTTGGTCTGAGGACAGATTTGAACTCACATCCTCCTGACTTCAGGGCCGGTGTTCTATCCACTGCACCACCTAGCTGCCCCTAGACAACTTTCTAAGACTGAAAGGTGCCAACTTGCATAGAGGGTGTTTTCTCATTTGAATATTCTCTATACCACTGAAATTTTAAGTCTAGTCCTCTGTCCCTCATCCTTTGCTATGTGCCAGGCATCATGCTAGCAAGTACTGGAGACATAAATTCAAATGAAACCAAGCGAGGCCTGCACATTCCCTCAAAAAGGAGACAACAAACAGAGTGAAGTGATGGCTAGAGAAGGGTGCTTTGTTATCGCAAGTCATAGGGATGATGAGTGAGCCATGGGGCAGGAGATTAAAATGCCAATCACCATTAAGCAGAACCAAGATGGCGGAGCAAATGGAGGAACTCATCTGAGCTCTCCCAAATTCCTCTCCAAACAATGTTAAAATAATGCCTCAGAATGAATTCTGGAGTGACAGAACCAACAAAAGAACAGGGTGAAATGATTTTCCAGCTCAAGACAATTTAAAAGGTCAGCAAGAAAGGTCTGTCTCACTAGGATGACAGTGAAGCACAGTCCAGCTCAGGCCGTGTCCCAGAAAACCAGCATCAGGCGTTCGGGGTGATGGAATCAGTGGCAGCTGCAGCTTCCAGAGATCTCAACCCACAGATGGTAAGGCATTGGAAAACTGATAAGAAGGAGATAACAGGAGACTGTTTGCTGGCACTCAGTGCAGAACTCTGTTGCATTGCTCATACCCAGTTCTGGATCACAGTCTTAAGTTGAGGAGGAGCTCTCACAGGACAAAGACTCTAGTCACAATTCCTGGGTGGAAAAGAATACTTATGGTTGCTCACAGACCAGAGTACAGGCCAGGAGATCAGTGACCACACCTCTTCTTAGATCATACCACCTTGGAAGAACTGAAACTTATAGACCTGCCCCCATCCCACCCCGAACTAGCTCTGAACACAGCAGCATGAAAAATCTAAGGTGTGGGACAGACAGTGCCCCCTTCACCCTAGGAACAGAGCCCTACCATAAAATAAAGCTAAAATCGAGAAAAAAAGGCTGGAAAATGAGTAAATATCAACAACGACAAAAAAGAACCTGACCATAGGAAGTTACTGTGACAGGAAACATCAAAAACAAACTCAGAAAAAGACAAGATCAAAGATCAAAGCAGCTACATGAAAAGCCTCAAAGGAAAATGTGGATTGGTCTCAGGCCCTGGAAGAGCTCAAAAAGGATTTTAAAAATAAAATAAAAGGCAAAGGAAAATGGGAGAAAGAAATGAAAGTGATGCAAGAAAAAGTCAACATATTAGAAAATGAGGCACAAAAGATACTAAAGAAAATCATACCTTAAAAAAACAGAATAGGCCAAATGTTAGAAGAGGCACAAAAATCCACTGAAGAGAATAATCCCTTAAAGAGCAGAATTGGCTAAATGTTAAAAAAAAAAAAAAAGCACAAAAATCTACTGGAGAGAAGAATCCCCTAAATAGCAGAATTGGCCAAATGGAAAAAGAGGCACAAAAGCTCACTGAAGAAATTAATTCCTTAAAGATTAGAGTTGAGCAAGTAGAAGCTAATGAATCCATGAGACATCAAGAAAAAATCAAACAAAATCAAAATAATTTTTAAAAAAGAAGAAAATGTGAAATATCTCATTGGAAAAACAATTGACCTGGGAAATAGATTGAGGAGAGATAATTTAAGAATTATTGGATTACCCAAAAGGAAGGATCAAAAAAAAGAGCTTAGACATCATATTTCAAGAAATTATCAAGAACACCTACCCTACTATCCTAGAACCGGAGGGTAAAATAGAAATTGAAAGAATCTACCAATTACCTCCTTAAGGAGATCCCAAGATGAAAACTCCTAGGAATATCATAGTCAAATTTCAGAGCTCCCAAATGGTTATGGTTTCACCAGCAGAAGACATGTAGTTCAATGGGACTAACTGATCAGTGGAAAGAGCAGATAGCAAGCATTTATATAAATGCTTTTAAGTTTACAAAGCACTTTACAAATATTATCCCATTTTATCCTCAGTAATACCCTGGGAGGTAGGTGCTATTGCTATCCTCATTTTATAGAAGAGTAAACTGAGGCACAGGATTGCATAGCTGGTAAGTGTCTGAAGCTAGATTTGAACTCAGGACTCCTTGACTCGAGGTCTGGAACTCTATCCATTGTGGCACTTAGATAGTAGATTCCTGCATGACAGGAGCCTACTTCAAAGACTAGAGGCACTCTAGATGGTAATTTGATAACATTTCTGACACAACGGCCTCTTTTCTTTGGCACTGTGAAGACGATAACTCAGACCTCCCTGTGATCACAGCACTTGGTCATAGGAATCAATCCTTCATATACTGCTTCTCAGAAATAGCTAATGGCCACCTAATATACAAGGACAAAATTAACATACAAAAACACTTCTGCAGGAATTAATGACAAAGAGGTCAAGAGTGACAGGTGTATTAAAAGAAATCTATCACGCAACAAGATGGTGGAAGGGTCAGATTCAACAAATCGTGGAGCCCCAGATTAGCAGTAAAAGACTTAGTTTCTCCCACCTCTAGTAGCTCTGCCACCAACTAGCAACCTGACCTCAGACTAATCGTTTTACTTCCCTGGGTCTTTATTTTCTCTTCTGTAAAAAGAGAGGGTTGGATTGGATGGTTTCTAAGATCCTTTTCGACTGGCTTTATATAAATTTATATTGTAAGGATGTCAGTCCTTACAGTGATTTAACCAATTGAAACAGGAAGGATCCAATTGCATCATAAACAGTCAGTAGGAAAGATGTTGTTAGCCCTTCATTTTCAAAGAGGACCAATGACATCACAGGGTGACGGCTTGACTTCAGCGAGGCAGAACTGTGCAAAGTCATTAGCCTCAGTCTCTCTTCTGGAGTCACTGAAGTCCAGAGCAAGACAAAAGTCAGGATGACTGGGGATGGCCTGGGATGCAGTGGGAGACCTTGGTGTCTTTGATGTCTGACCAAACTCTAAGCGCCCCATAGCGCCTGCTTCAGCCATCTTCATGGCCACTGGAAGAAATGGTTCTCATCCACCCATTCCACAGAGGGAAATCTTCAAACGCTTGGGGTAGGCACCCTGCTAACTGACCGATGGGCTTGTGGTACGTGGGTTACCCTCAACCTCCTTTAGCCCATCTGCCAAGGTGGTTTTACCAGAGTGTGGCCACTGTGCATGCTATAGCTTCTTGGAGCCATAGGTAGGAGTTGAGTGCCAGGTGAACACCAAAGATGGATGAGCAGCCCTGAAAAGGGCTCTCATACCAGAGGTGCTAGCCCTCCTTGAACACCCCATACACCCTAGTAGGAAAGCTAAAAACTCAATGCTCAAGCCAACAGCCTCACTATTTGGACAATGATGGAAATAACAAGGGTCGGACTCCTAGGATTTGGTGGGTTGAGGTTTCCAGAGATTCTAATCTGAATATATATTCTCAAAAGAATCAGAGGAATTGTGTTCCCTAGGTGGAATTAGCTACATCAGCCTGTGCAACAGGATCTGTACTTTTCTGCAAGAAGGGTTAATGCCATTGAAGATAATTACTTAAATTCCAATTTTTATTAAAAAGTCTATCACTAATGGCTCTCTGGGAGGGAGACAGAGAGGGAGATTGAGGATAACCATGATGATATAGCAAAGAGAAGACATCAGTAAAAACTTATTTAAAAGGTTCATCACTGATAGTTGATGTACATATTTTGGCTATGATAAAACCTAAAAAAAGGAAGCAATTCAAGAAGAGAAATCTGTTCAAAATTTGGTGTTACATGGGAATAAGAGAAAATGAGAACAGTAACTGAAATACCTGCAGCTGATCAAGAGGCACAGGACCCATTGGAAGGTAAGCAACAGACCTGATCTTTATAATCAAAGGGTTTAAATCCTGCTTCTGTTTCTCAGTCATAAGTGGGGCATCTACTGTTAAATTCAAATAGCAATCCAAAATTTTGGAGTTATTTTCTTTAGAGTGACTCATCACACTTGTCTGTCCTGTGGAAAAAACATATGCACCACAGAAAAACCTTTATTCACCATTTATTCACCACAAATCAAACGAAGGCTACTTCAGTGTTCCAAATAATTGGACAAGGCAGAACACTTGCCATGGATTAATTTTCCTAAGCTAATGTAAAGTTTAATTATTTTTTAATTTAAAGTTTAAATTTTGTTACATTATCGTTCAGTCATTTTTCAATTGTGTCCAGCTCTTTGTGACTCCATTTGGGATTTTCTTGGCAAAGATACTGGAGTGGTTTGCCATTTTCTTCTCCAGCTTATTTTACATATGAGGAAACTAAGGCAAACAGGATTAAGTGACTTGCCAAGGGTCACACAACTAGTAAATATCTGAGATCAGATTAGAACTCAGGAAGATGAGTCTTCCTGACTCCAGGCATGGCACTCTGTGCACTACAGCACCACCTGGCGGCCCCCAAATTTTAAATTAATAACAAGCCAATAAACACACATAAAAAAGACATTTAAGTTTTCTGAAATAAACATTTACAGGTCAGGTATTCCCCCAAAGTATAACTACTGTAGGATGGCACTGATTTTACTATATCTGGAAAGGGTCTTTACTGTTTGGCATAAGCATTGTGTTTATTAGATAGTCACCATTTGAGAGATATTAAGAAAAGTACCCAAAGGCATCCAAGAAAACAGTTTGATCCAAATGTCAATTCCCATTTGCTTCTCAGTCAATTTATAAAGATTCTACTGTGTGCAAGACATTCATAAAGGTCATACGCATAGCTAGGAACTGATCTGATCTGAATAAAAACCTCTATGATTATTGGTTCCTTCTGATTACAGAAAATTCTTCAGAAAAGAATTAGAAACAAAGAAAATTATTCTAACCATTACAGGCTATATTACACATGCTTCGAAGTGTGATTTTTAAAACACATAAACTGAATTTTTTTTCCACAGACCGTTTTGAAGGTAAGCTGTAGCCAATTCCGTTTACCTGATTCTCATAGAACTCAGTTCTAGAATTCTGTATTATCTACTGTCACATACCCATAAATACAGCATCTCTATAATTTCTCTGAGGAGATTTAGATTGGGTCAAGAACCAGATAATTTTTGCAACTCGACATTTCTGTGATCCTAAGATTTTAAAATTGTTTTTGAGTTTTAGTCAGCTTTCATGTAGAGAAAACCAAAACAAACAAAAAAAAAACCATCCTACTATTTGGCAACAATTTTTCAAAATCACTGAATATGACCAGGATCCTGCAGATCATAGAAAAAAATCTTAGGATTCTGATGAAATATTTTTAACTCAAATATTTTGTACCAAAGCCAGCAGAGGGAGCTCATCATATTTGAGTATAAACATATTGAGTAGATTTACAACTATTTTCTTTTAGCCTGGAGAAACGGGGGGGGGGGGGGGAATTCACTGGTAGCTTGGCCTTATTTATTTAATTTGATTTATTTCAATCAACAAAAATTTATTTTTTTCTCTCTCCCAACTCTCCACCCACCTTGGGGGAAAAAAGACCAGGGTGGGGGGAGGGTTCATGATCCTTGTAACAAATCTGTTTAGTCATGAAAAACAAATGGCTTTATTTATTGCTTTTTAATATGTTGCCCCAAATATATTAGGCACTAAACTGCTAACTTCAGGCAAATAGCTCCCTTCTAAAAGCATAATTATATACAATGCATAAGGTTCCCCTAACTGACAAACTATTTCACAGCATCCTTATTAATACATTATGTAACTAATCCCCACTCTCTTTATGAAATAATGCTGTAATTATAGTTTGGTGCAAGCTTACATGCCTCAGGTAACTGAGCCCTCTAGAAAGTTACCTCCTCAAAGGCCAATCCCCTAATCATCCTATTCACAACATTGCTCTCCTGCAAATAAATGCCCCATTAATTTGTTTCTTCCGATGTGGTTTTGCTAAACCAATTAGCACTGCTAGTTGGCATATACCTAAAATTATAATACAATTTGCTTTTTCCTTACAAGGTAAACACAAACATGGAAAGTGGTTTTTAAATCATTAAAAACTATATATTGAAAATGTTTCATTCTGATCGTCTTCAGCCCCCCTTCCATCATTCCACACCATTCCCTTATTCCACCGTTCCATAGTCATTGCATTAAGTGGAAAGGGGCCATACGGGACTGAGACTCGAAGGAAATCAGGGATTTCAAAAGGTGGAGGTGAGAGCATCCCAGTCGTGGGAAACAGCCACTGCTAAAGCAATGAGTCTTCTCCATAGCTGGTCATTTATCGGCCACTTCCTGTCAGATCAGATTAGGTCATTCTTGCTTTCACCTCATAATGTGGCCAATGAAAGAGATGATGAGCTCATATGAGGAGTAGAAGAAATGTCTGTGGCCAGATTTGAACTCAGGTCCTCCTGACTCCAAGGCCAGAGCTCTATCCACTGCACACACCACTTAGTTGCCCCATAAAGTCAACAAATTTTAAAAATAAAATTTTTCAAAAATCAATAAATTTTTAAAAACTGTGAAAACTACCAGCAAGAAGAGGCATGACATCCAGCTCCGCAGAAAAGATAGTCTGTTTCCTGGCCAGTGTTGATTCTGATTCTTCATCACATAGTGCAAATCTCTTCTTTCTCTTGCCTGAAATTCTTCTATCTTTTTATTTAACAGTGAAAAAGGAAGAGTCAGTGTGAAGCAAGAAAGTAAAATTAAATATAATACTAAAGACAAAGGTGGCATAAAATAATTCTTGGAATAAATATGATTTTAACTAGACATTTTAAACCATGCTCTTTACCATACTATTAAGGACTTTAAAACCTATTGAGAGATTCCTCAACAAAACAAAACAGTTTAAAAAAAAAGTGGAAAAACTTCCATGTTAAATTCTATCTTGGGCTCAGCTTTGGAGCCTGTTGAGATTTTTTTGAATATTGACATTGTTATCTAACATATCAACTCTCCATTGTAGCTCTACATCCTCTCCAGATTGGATGGACATGGCTTCTCTTACTTCAAGTGCTGACATGCAACACAGTCAGTAGAAACTACCCCTTATAGACATTAATTTATCAGCCAACACTAAGCATCATTTTCTAACCCGCTATGAATCTACCTAATTCATAACCCATATTGACAAGTGTCCTGATGAAATTAAGGTATAGTGATATTGATAGTAACCTCCTGATCTGTCAGTCCACCCATGTGCCTTAACATGAAAGAATGAGGTTAGTTTGACATGCCTTATAAACTGGTGCTGGCTCCACATGAACCATAACAGTGATTCCACCATCATTTCTTATTCTTTCTAGTACTTTGCTGGGAATTCAAGTCAAGCTAACTGGTCTGTAGCTTCCAAGACTGATCAAAGAATCAGAGATTTAGACCCAGAAGGGACCTCAGAAGTCATTTATGATTAGAGGTCCAATCCTCTCATTCTACAGATGAGGAAACTGAGGCTCTAAGAGGTGAAAACCTGCCAAAAGTCACCTAAGTAGGGAAGCTGGGATCTGAACCTGTGTTCTCTCACACCAAACCCAGCATTCTTTCCACCGGACCATTCTACCCACTTCAACCCCCCATTTTCGTCTTTAAAATATTAAAGCAAAATTTGCGCATGTTAAATCTACTAATACACCCGTTAGTCTCAGCGACTTCTGAAAGATTGTCAATAGTGTTTCTGAGACTACATCCCTAAGTCTTGTCATCAGCCTGGGATGCAGTTCTTTTGAGCCTGGAGGAGTGAGTTGATCTAAAACCAAATGGATGCTCTCTCCTTAGCTTCTCGCCTACCCGGGGATTCAGTTCTCTCCTAACCATATCTGTTATACTCTCATGCTCAAAGATCATTTCTCTTGATGGGAAAAGATGAAAATACAGTAGAATTGAGTAGTTCTGTCATTTGTTAACACTATACCATGGACTCAAACGGGGAAGCCCATCCTTCACAAAATCAGAGAAAAATACCAGAGCTTGAAGGGACCTTAGAGGTCCAGCATCTCCTTTCGAAAATGAGGGAACTACAGCCTAAAGACCGGACAGGTGATTTTCCTATTTGAACCTAAGCTGTCTTAAGTCCGGAGCTTCTTTCATTACTCCGCAGAGCACACCTTTCTTCCTGCTTGTTCTTGCACATAACTTTAAAGAGCCTTTTTGTGGTCCTCAGAAATCTTCACCTGATTTGGGGCTGTAGCCTTCCCGAGATTATGACTACGGGTTTAACCAACTCTTCTGTGTTTCCTTAATTATGGTTCTCTCTTTCACCTTTAGTACAGGCTCTTTTCAAATGTGAATTCACTAGAGAGGTCTTTGTTTGACCACACTGGTTTGTTTAGCTGACTCCCTTTTTCTTCTGCATTATGATCCCATCATTTTAATACTGACCACAAAACATCCCTCTGCATCCCTTTTAGAGACGTTGGCCCATACAGGGTCACATCTATTATTTTTTTTCAAACATTTTTGAAATCTTATTAAAGTATAATAACAATGATGTCGTTATATGATATTACAAACTATATTGTTGTTATTTAGCATTATAAGGTATGATTATGCTCAGCATCCTTTTTCTCAGCTATCATGGGCAGTTAAGTTCACATGGTCACTATCTCCCAAAATTCCTGTCACTCTCATGTTTCAAACCAAGTCTCTATTGATCTGAGTTAAGTTCAGAGCAGCAATATCACTTGCTGCTTCTTTAACCTTCAGGAAAAATAAAACTGTAACCAAAGCAAGTCAAGAATTTATCAGAATGAGACTTCAGACAGATGCTTGAATAAGCTTACATCGTTGATCATTACCACCATACATCTTGCTTCTACATTAGTTTGATAATTTGTATTTGGAAGTATTCTTCTTGCTGCCCATTTTGTCTATAATATGCTCCCAAAACAATATCATTTTCTATTCTCTTTTATCTTGGCCCAAGTACTACCACATTTCTACCTTGCAGGTTCTAGATTCCCATAACCTTCTAATATGCAGAGCTATACCCCTTATCTTTTCTATTTGATCTATTTCTTTTAAATGAGTTATATATTTCCACTGTTGTATTCTGGTCATGCATGCCATGCATCCAAATCTTGGGCACTTCTGAGCTAATATTAATTTCAAGTTCAATCTGCTTATGACTTATCCTCTGTCTACCAGAATATGAAAATCTGAGGTTAGAAATATCATTGTCTGCAAGGATCTAAGACAATTCCAAAATAATCATAACAGAAAACGCTATCCACATCCAGAGAAAGAACTATGGAGTTCAAATGCAGATCAAAGCACACTATTTTCTCTTTTTCTGTTTGTTTCTTCTTTCTCATTTTCCCTTTGGTTCTAATTCTTCTTTACAACATGATTAATATGGAAATATGTTTAATATGATTATACATGTAGAGCCTGTATTAGATTGCATGCCATCTTGGGGGAGGGGTGAGGGGAAGGAGGGGGAGAATATTTAGAACTCAAAATCTTATAGAAGTGAATGTGGAAAACTAAAAATAAATTTTAAAAATTTAAAAAAATAAATGTCATTGTCCCTCTCTTATTAGTTTCTCTTGAGAACTGGTCCCCAAAACTTTCTTTACTATCATTGCAAATGGCATCAGGGTTTTTTTTAATTTAAGAAAATTTTAAAGGGCAAATTTCTCCCGTTCCCCTCAATTTAACTTAAAAACCTCTTGACTTGGTTCTTTTTACTTGGTTCATCCCGGTCTTTGAGATCTTCACTGTATTTTTGGCACAAAGACGATGATGACAAGAAGCTATGATTCCCCTCTCCCGTACTTCTCTTTCAACATCTTGTCACTCCCTACGATCTCCTTTTTCCAACAACAACAAAAAAAAAGAGCTTCCACTGAAAGAAATAAAGATACAATCTATATCCCAAAGTCCTTCAGTTTTCCTATCCGAACATTTCAAATTCACTAGCAATACAATCCAAGTTTCATCTGGTAATAGACATTCATCTGCAAAAATGGGTAGGAGTGGGGAAGTAGAGAATTTGAAGAACCCAACTGGGCTTTCCTATGTACTGATGTTCCATATCAATGCACAGAAAAGGTAAGAAGAAAATCTACCAACTTCCCATCATCAAATGACACATTTCTTTGGGCTTCAACTTTAGCAATACTATGTATCACAGCACATTTTCTTTTTTTGGATGGGTTCATGGAAAAAGGAGAAGAAAATATATCTCCAGTTAGCAAGGGGGAAAATCTGAAACCATAAATAGAAGCACAGAATACTAGTCTTGGAAAGGAAGTTACTGCCTATTTCCCAAAGAGATCAAAGAAAGAGGGAAACAACCCATATATACAAAAATATTTATAGCAGAACTGGAAACTAAGGAGGAACACATCATTTAGCAAAAAGGTTGAACAACTGCGGTATATGGCTTACTGGAATACTACCATGCTACAAAAAATGGTGAGAGAGATGGTTTCGGAGAAACCTGGGAAGCCTTGCATAAACTGATACAGAGCGAAGTAAGCAGAACCAGGAGAATAGGTTATACAAATAGCAAGACCATTGTAAAGACAAACCATTTTGAAAGGCTTAAGAACAGTTCTGATCAATTCAATAACCAACCAAAATTCCAAAGAACAGATGAAGGATGAATCATGCTACTCCCTCCTGACAGAGATGTGATAGATAGAATCAAGATGCAGAATGAGTCATATTTTTGGACATGACCAATGAGGGAATTTGTTTTGTTTTACTATGAATATTTATTACAGAAATTTTAGTTTTGTTCTCTTTTTTTTCCCAGTGGAAGAAAGGTGGGAGAGAGAGAAAAAAATAAATGTTAATTTAAAAAACAATGAAGTTATTTTTTTGGAGACTAGGTCTCCCTATCTTGCATATAGGCCAGAAGTTGAGTGGCTACTCTCAGGCCCAATCCAACTATTAATTGGCAGGGGAGCTTTGACCTGCTCCATTTCTAACCTGAATGGGTTTGCCCCTCTTTAGGTGGCCTGGAGGCCTCTTGCTTCCAGAGGGACTCACCATATTGGTATCAGACTTTGTGCAGACACTTGATCAACTTTAGCCTAACTGCAGTCCAAAACTCCTGAGCCCAAGTAATCCACTGACCTCAGCCTCTCCAGGAGCAGGGATTACAGGCATGGTCTACCACACCAGGCAAAAATTAAATGTTAAAAAAGAAAGGAAGTCACAGGGAGATGGACTCCTTGTTCAATATCAGAAAGAATTTCCTAACAATTAGAAATGTTTGAAAATGGAATGTTCTGCCTTGTAAGAAAGGGGATTCTCGAGGTATTCAAAGAGAAGAGATAGCCATGTGTTAGGGATGGTCACTGGGTAAAGGATTAAAATAACTAACCTCTAAGATCTCTTCAAACTCTTAAGATTCCATGAAGGTATACACACCTTCTGCAACAGTCAAAAATGGGCCTTACAGAATCTGTTTGAATACCTCCACCCTTCCTTGGGTGGAACTTACTACTTAGCCTGTTTCATAGTTGGATATTTCCAATGAATCTTTCCTTATATTCAGATGAAATATGACTCATTTTGAACTTTCATCCATTAGTCATAGTTCTTCCACTTGGAGAACTATGGAATATACATTCTCCTTCTCTACAACAGTCTCTCAAATAATAGGAGAAATCGATCATATTTTCCTTTTATATTTTCTTTTCCAAGGCAAACATTACCAGCTCCTTCCACTATAGCAGAGCCTCTTAGCATTGCACAAGAAATCTAATTATACTTCAAATGAAAA